TATGTGTGTGTGTGTGTGTGTGTGAACTCACCTTAAAGAAAGGGGCTGTACACATGCTAGGGAAATACATGGGTGGGGTCACGTGACTTTTAGTTACTCTATTCATTTCTATGGTAGAGAGGAAAAGAGGGGAGAACAGGGGTCATGGATCAGAGAAGATGCTTAAACAGTAAAAAGTAACAAAGACAGGACAAATTCACATTCAAGCCATAAGAACAAACTAATTTCTTTCATTAATATGAACTTTAACTGATGCTAAACAGTTTCCATTCGCTGTAATATGAATTCGGACTTTGTCATTCAACTTCTCATGCAACCAGTGTGAACTCGAGCTACTACCTAAAATACATTTAATCCTGTAAATACATCCCGTACTAACATTTACTGTCACTACTTTTGCCGCTCCTCTTACCTGGATGCTCTCCTCTGGACCCTCACACACCAAATCCTCTTGACGTAGACTTTTGTCTCAACCTGGCTCTTCTGTTTTATACCGGCGTCCACGCTGGGCCTTCGTGCTCGCGCGAGTGCGCGTGCTGTCACTTCATGCTAGTGACGTTGAACGAGGCGAGTTTGTCAAGTGTAAAGCGTTATCTCGATTAGTTATGATACTTCCGGTTAGCTTTTTCAAAATTAAACTCTACTGAACAATATTAGCTGTTTACGTTATTTGAAGTAATACAAAGTCTTAATTTGGGCATAAAAAATATAATAATCCCTAATATCTGTTTTTCATTTATTAGTGTTTTTTTGAAGCCTATGTGTTTTTTAAAGGGTATTTGTGTATTTAATTTTGGCCTTAAATTAACAGCTCCGTGAAGCACAGCTAATAAAAAGTTTAGCTGTAATACTTGATCTTTTCATTACAGGTAAGCAAATGTGTCACCTCAATCAGTTTTTCATTTAGGCCTACTACAGCTGAATGATTAGCCAAGTCACTCAATCAATTATTCATCAACAGGAAAATCGATCAGTGACTATTTTTTTATTTATTTATTTATTTTTTTTAAAGTTGAGTAGCCTAAATTTTACAACAAGCCTTAATTTAGCCTTAATTTGATCTACTTTGTTGAAAACATCAAACATTCTATGTTTCCAGCTTCTCAAATGGGAGCATCTGATGCTTCCAGAAGAAATTCCAGAGATGTTAATCAATAATTATTAGCTTTAATTTCAGCCTTAGGCTACTACTTTTTTTCAAATCTCAAAATGTTCATTATGAAGGTAAAGGGAAGAATAGGTACTTCCGGTATTTCTCTAGCTAACTGTGACCAGCTTGACGCAGGTGAGAGTTTGGACGGCCAGTGTGCTCCACCGTAAAAAAAAATTTTGTGTGCGCGCGCCGGTTGGCCGGCCGCTCTCTCTCTCTCTCTCTCTCTCTCTCTCTCTCTCTCTCTCTCTCTCTCTCTCGCTGTCTTTGTAACCCTATGCGGCCTGTCGACTCAGCAGATCATATACAGGGCAGCCACAGAGGTGCGGGTGGTGAATGCGGGGCTGTTGTTGGTCTATTCGTATAGGTCAGCAGTGCCATCGTATAGAGCAACAATGGCCGGGGCTATAGGCAGAGAATGAGGTGGATTTGGACAGCCATCCGGCGAGCCTGTTTCAATGGTGTATCGCAAAAGTGGAGGAAATTGGAATAGTCAAATTAGATTAATGATATAACTATAAATTAATAATAACAATATGGTTATGACGTAAAGTTAAAAGTGATTTAAGAATATTGCTTGTGCAAGAATACAAGAAAAAACCAAGACAGACTGAAAAGCGAGGAATAACTTTGTGACCATTTTGAGATGCTTTGCTTGTGTCACATACACAGAACATTGTTGCACTGATGCTGTTTTATCAGAACCCCTCCCCCCCTCCATCACTTCAAACACTGGGCCCCAGTTACCACAGCAACAGAAACCCTTGCCTTATCTGGATCTTGGTCCTTGACATTTCATCTAGAGCTTCTGAGGAGGCCGGTACCCAGTTCCCCTCAACATGTTCACTGTCACACAGACTCACACACTCACACACTCACACAAAGGCAGTGCCAATGTCAAATGAAACCAAAGACACAACCACCATCATTTCCCCACAACACAATTTCCACAGACACTGCTCTGACTTTATATTATGATAAAAGTGAACACTTGTGTATGTGTTGGTTTGGCATTTGTCATCGCATCTATCACACCTTATTTTTTAATGTTTGCAGATGTCTCACTCTTTCCTTTACGACTGAAATGCATGAACTTCACATTCTTACATGGTCTAAATACAGAGGACAGGTGTTGAATGCTGTGCAGATTGTGAAGCCCTTTGAGGCAAATATGTGATTTGTGATTCTCAGCTATATATATATATATATCAAGTCAATTGTATATATATGTATATATATATATAATTGACTTGATTAAGCATTATAATGAAGAACATAGCAACCACTCCGGTAGAGGAATGACTTCTACGCAACAATGCTCACAGGGATATACATCACAGAAAGGGCATCATTATCATTCATATCATCATCATTATCTGCTTGGTGACCCTTGGGAAGCTCCTCTTAAAACTTTGGATGGATTTTTAGTCAAGTGAATAGTTGGTGTGAACGGTCCATCCACGTAATGATGTAAGGGAGAGATCATGTTTTTTCAGTCAGTGTCAGTGCCACCTTTAATTGACTTGAGTCACTTTCAACTTTGTTTGTTGTTTTACCCTTTAAACTTGTTTCTGCTCAGATAGTGTGGTGTCCTATTGTATTGACGACTGTCTGGTATTTCTACACTCTGTTAATTTCTCCAACTGAAAATTACAGATGTAAACAAAAGAGATCAGATATGCCTCATATAGGCCTGAATATAACAATATGAAAATATCCAAACAGGAACAATAAAATATCTTATTTATAATAAACTGTTTTATTTATTCTCAGTTGTGAGATGAAAGATCAATCAAACCATTGTTCATCTGCCACATGAATTTCACAGAGCTTTTTAAAGAACATGTTTTATTACAGCATGTGGAAAACATCATTGACTTCTGCTGGCTTTACATCATTATTTTCTATCAGATTAGACTGATTGATCAGATTTTATATAAAGGGCCGATGGATTTTGCAGCTCATACTAAAACCACTGATCACCTACAAAAACAGAAGAACCACATTATAAATTTATCAAGTTGTGTTCCTGCTATTTTTTCAGTGTGTGTTCCAGGTATATTTATGTACAAAATAAAAGGCAGAGTGAAAGTCGCTAAAAGTGTATATAAGGTGTATTGTTTCAAATTGGCAAGAATATAGTTTGTTTAATGTCGTTCGGGTCCTGTCTTATTGTGCTATATGTGAATTACTTTATGTGAACTATTTTATGCTAATTTAAAAGTTTATCTTGAAAAAGAGGCTCTCTGGTTAGAAAGAAGTTAAATAAAACCATACAATACAATAAATTCAATAAATTCAATTAAAATAATTGTCTTTTCAGGTAATTTATATTTTTTTACACTTTCCTTGCAAATACCTTGTAATTTCTATTACCTGTGATGGGATTTCAGAAACAAATGAACAAAAAAGGTGTAGTACTAGTGACCTGCTGGTTACCATGTGAAATCTAGTAACTTCACTGTCATATATGCAGGTCTTACCCCTACCTCTGTCTTCCCTCGTGTTTACTGACTGTACATACACTGTCACTATTCACTAAAGGAAAGATGCCAATAAAGCAATCATAAAAAGAAAGGAAATATATGCTAATATACTAATAAAGATTTTCCACATTGGAGGCCACACCATTGTATCCTCACTCCTTGTCTTTTGTCTCCTCTGAGAAGGGATTTGCCAACTTGAACGTCTTTCTGGATGGTGGGCCTTGACTGTCTGCAGTAACTGAATCCAGCTGTGATTGGAGGATCTTGAGCTGTGCCCCAGGGTACTCGGTTAATTTCCTCTGTCGTCCATCTCCTTTTGTGCATTCACTCTCACTGAGATGGAAGTGTGTGATTCACCCCTTCACTCCTTCACTCCATCACTGATGCTCACCTGAGTGGTGATTTGAAATTCTAACCGCAGGATTAATAAGCTCAGGGACGAAATCCAAGAGATTCAATTTTTACCTCAGGGCCTCCTGTGGTACACAGCTGCTCCTCTTATTTCCTTCCTCTCCTCACCAGCACGTGAAGCTTTGATGTCGGACGACATCTGACCTCACCTGTGTGGCCATGTTCAGAACTACAGCCGACTGGTTCGCTTGCTCCCTTGTGTGCACTTTGGACTAAGTATCTCATGGACTTTCCTATGGCAGCTTACACCCACCACAATATTTTACCCACCCACTCAAGAAAAAAGGCAGAGGGCTTTAATTTAATAGCTCTCCCCCACTGTGATGAAGAGGGAGATTCAGATCATTTGTCCATGCACACTCTGAACCTCTGTGCTCACCCAGAGGTGGAACAGCAAGGTTATTGCTTCTCACAGCTTATTGCTTTTCCTGTTATTGTTTGTCCCAGTTCCTCTTGATTACAGCACTGAGGGGAATAGGGGTGAATAATTTTGTGACAGGCTGTTAAATGTGAACCCGGTCAGCCAGGCTATCATTATTATGGGCTTAGAAAATACTTTGTACGTAGCAGCCCAGTGCAGAAACGGTAAATGTCTCACTTTTACTTCACTTTATTCCAGCTGTTCTATCTTTTCACTCTTTTAGTTAATGGATTCATATTATGTTTTTTTTTGTCCAGCAAGGTGTAACATTCAGATTTCCACTTTGTCACATTTTCTTCCTCATATTCTTCTCTTCTTTCAACATATATCCTGGCATGTCTTTCTGCCCCACTGTCTCTCTCTCTCTGCCTCCCTCCCTCTCTTTGATGATGGGGGTATTTCTATTCTGTGGGGGCTGTGAGCTCAGCGAGTTTGTTTCTGTGTCTATAATCCCCTCTCTCTGGGCGCCAGCATATAAAAGTGGCGAGGGGCCTGGCGCACACTCAAACAGACCACCAGTCACAGCCCCGAGTCTACTCCTTTACGCACACACTGCCACAGGTAAGACAGTGGACAAACATCATACAGAAAAGACAGAAGGGGAGGTAGACAGAGAGCAAGAGCAACCTGATGTGATACCTTATAATGATAACAACCAAGGAAGTCAATTGTAGTTCAAGCTGAAGCTATGGAGTCAAACAGTGCTGGTAAAATGTGAATTTCTTTAGTGCAAATCCATTAGTTATAAATAAATGCAGTGTGGCCTGTTCAGAATGAACACAGTTTTATTCTGAGTGCAAATTATGCCAAAACCAATTCTTACATCTAAAATATAACTTTAAAAATCAAGTTTGGTTCCACAAATACAGCATTGAATTTGCAACAAATTCTCCTTTTTAAATAATTGGTTGAAAACGAACTGCGCTTAAAAAGCTTCCAAAGGCTGTCAATATCTATGTTATATGTATATTGTAACTATTTTGGTGATTTGCAAAAAATGAAATTTATTTTATTCTTGATGTTTTTTTGATGGAATTTTGATGGAAAAGTTTTTTTCTTAATATGAATATGAGTGTAAAGCAAATGTCAAAATGGTAATTTGTCTGGTTAAATTTGAATTGAATTCAGCTTTGTTGATGAAACGTATTAGAGCTGGGAGAGGGGATCAGAGCAGTTTGAGGTTTATATCTATTCTTTTTTGCTGAGGGGAGGGTAATCAAAATTTTTGTGCGGGAGTTTCTTCAGTGTATTACAAATTGATTACAAGGGATTTTAAATAGTAATTAATATGTAATTTAGATTTGGCATCTGTGCCAGTAAAAGCTTATTTGAATTGATAAAACATGAGAAATGTCATTCGTCATGTGATGTAAAATAACATGTCTTTTGTCTGACTTGGTCGCTATGTGTAAATCATTATTCCATTAACATTAAGGTGCAAATTTTTTTTGTGTGTGTGCACTGAGATATTGTGGGGAGGATGGTGCAAATTTCCCCAGGATCTAAAGAAAATATCAACATATAACACTGGACATGGCTTTGCTTTTTAAATACGTGAACCCCCCCCCCCTTCCTCCAGCACCACTGCAAGCATTTTTTGCAACAGTCCCTTAATGTGACAGACAGCTGAAAATCTTCTCTTCTTTTCAGTCATCATGTCTGCTGGAGGAGAGAAATCCAAGTCTGCTTCCCAGACTGATGGGAAGGCCGCTCAGAACAAGATGTCTGAGATGGGCATGATGTCCTACAAGGTACAGTACATCACACAAACACTCAAGTCCATCACACATACAGTATTTTACACTCCCTTGTTCTTGTTTGGACACTTTCTCCTCTGCCACAGTCTTTCCATCTCATCTTTTCTCAAGTGTAGCTCTTGACTTTGAAACCACATCGGTGACCTCCTTTCTCACTCCCATTCTTATTCTCTTTGCCCCAACAGATGTGCGTGTACGACCAGGAGAACTTCCAGGGACGCTGTATTGAGATCACCGGCGAGTGCATGAATGTGGTCGACATGGGAATGGATAGGGTGCGCTCCCTGCGTGTCGAGTGTGGACCGTAAGTGGCCTGTGCACATACAACCGCATATACACACCCACCCACACATGCGAGTAAAATGTACCCAGCACCCACACTTGTCTGAGCAAAGAGCAGTAATTTTGCTGTTGTACCTCACCATTATCTGACGTTTCACACTCTGCATTTTAGGCATTTATCTCATGCTTTTATCCCAAATGATTTGCAGAGAGTGCAGCAGTAGAATGAACTTCAAACCTAAACTACTGACATAACAAAGCAGCAAACAGCAGTGACTGTGAAGAGAAATCAAAGATACACAGCAAGTTAAGAGTTGAAGCAATGTTCAAGGTTTCACGATAACAGTGATAAAGTCTCTATTATACTGTGCTTAAAGTGAATTAAAGGTCACATCCAGAGATTTATTCTTTTTTGTATTGCACTTCCACAAAATTGGCCCACATACAAGAGACACATTAAAACAAGAGATGTAGCCCTAAGCCCCTGATTGGCACCCATGCACAGTCCTCCCATATACCAGGTTTATGTCCAGTCCTGTTTGAAAAAAAGTCTCCAAATCCAGTGACAATTGAGCTAAGTTGGCAACACTGCAACCTGCAGACGCCCCCCGATAGATGATAGATAGCTATTTTTATTAAATTATTTTTGAACGAGCAACAGCCAATGGTTAAACTCCGACTCAGTCATGTGGCATTCGGCTGACCAATGGTGGAATTATGATCACGCAGTCAGTCACTCACTTTGGTGAAAATCCATAAACACTGGATCCTACATTTGATGACATTTCAAGGGTTATTTTTTTGAACGTTTCAAATCTCCCCTCAGAGCTACTGAACATGCTATACAACTGTTCTCACGGGATGAGTAGTGCTTCTTGTTATGAGTAAACAGATGTTTCTATGTAAAATTGGTGGACTTCTTTAAAGGTCAATACAATGATCACTGGATCTCATCGCCCTCCTCCTCTCGCCTCATTGTTTTGGTTCTTTCCCTCCTCAGCTTCGTCGGCTTTGAGCAGATGAACTTCTGTGGTGAGATGTTCATCCTGGAGAAGGGCGAATACCCCCGCTGGGACTCCTGGAGCAACTGCCAGAAGAACGACTACCTGCTGTCCTTCAGGCCCGTCCGCATGGTAAACCCACTCGGCTCAAGATTTATCTATGTTTCCCACACTCCTGATGGTAGTTTGCTCGTGTTTCAACCGCTCACCCCTCCTTTATCTCTTTCCACCACCTTGCAGGATCCTGAGAAGCACAAGATCTGCCTGTACGAGGTCGGAGAGTTCAAGGGTCGTAAGATGGAGATCATGGATGACGATGTCCCCAGCCTGTTTTCCTACGGTTTCACCGACAGAGTGGGCAGCATCATGGTCAGCTGTGGAACGTGAGTATTGTGGGAAATATGCTACGAGCATTTTCTTGCTTTTCCAGAAGAAAGAGTTCATTATTCTGGGAAATGCACTTATGTGTTTTCCCAACAACTATTCCTTTAAACATCAAGCCCTGCCTCTGTTTTCTTATGCCTGTCTACAGAGCAGAAACTCAGCTGTCTTAAATCCTTCCTCTATTTGCAGCTCTCATTAATTTTTCAACAGTGCCAACAACAAATATTACACCCTGCTCTTGCAAGAGCTGCGTCAAAAAAAAGTCTTCCTGCATGTGTCAGACAGCTTCCACATCCGGGATGTCATTCTCGAACTGCAGAAACAGCAGCATAATCACCAACTATCTGAGTACCCTCAGTGCCTGGGAGAGCGAGTTCAGGAATAGCGGCTTTTTCATCAGCAGCTAGACAAAGGTGTCATCGGCGTCAGCAGCTGAGTGTCTCTCAGAGGTGTGGCAGGCAGCAGACACAGTCTCTTAAATGCTGTGATTACTTCATTTGTAGCACCCCGCCTTTCCTGAAACAAGCAGCAGGGAGGGGGACTCACCTGTGATTTGATGCTGACAGCATGACAAACAGATCGATGTTTATTTGTTAGATATTTGTCCTTCCTAATTTGTCTTTCTAGCATCTTTCTCTCACATTTTATTTGTTTGTTTCTCATCTTTCAACCTGGTGTTTTACTGCCAAGAATCAATTTTCCCTGTTCTATCGGACATCTTTTCCCTCGCCCCTTCATCTTTTATAATTTCCTCTGCAACCTTGCTATCCACCCCTAATTTGAAAATGTAAATTCCCTTTCCTTCCTCTCTCCTCTTGCTGTGTCTCTCCCTAGCTGGGTGGGTTACCAGTTCCCCGGCTACCGTGGCAGCCAGTACCTGCTGGAGAAGGGTGAATTCAGGCATTTCAACGAGTTTGGTGCCCGCAGCCCCCAGATGCAGTCCATCAGGCGCATCCGTGACATGCAGTGGCACCCACACGGCTGCTACACCACATCCTCCAAGTGAAACCCAGCGAGGGCGAGGAAGAGAGGGATTGGAGGAGAGATGGAAGCTGAGGGTGGGCGAAGAGATGGAGGGGAAAGAGGAGGGAAGGCCAAGAAGGAGAGGAGGGAGAGGGTGTAATATTTACTCCTCTGTTCCTAAAACTCTTGGTGGTTTGAGGGCAGGATTGGACGGAAAGCAGTTGGTTGTTATTTTTAGTTGCGGGAACATTGTAATCTAGTGACCAATGAAAAGTTATTCAAGATGAAGTAGAGGAAGAGGAGATAATTATATGGACCACAGAGACCGTATCTGATAATAAATGCTCTCTCCATTTTTGTTCTCCCTCTCTCACCGACTCTGTTTGTCAGCTCCCTGCTCCACACTTTCCCCCTCTCTCCTCCCCTCCCTCCCTCTCTCCCCCTCACACACTTTGCCTCCACATCCCATCAACGTCAGCCCTCACTCAGCCCGTTGGAGCCCATCTGAGGAGGGGAGGGGGCGTACCAGTGTGGATTTGTGTGTGTTTGTGTGGGGGATGTGAAACAGAAGGAAGCCACATTAAGAGAGAGGAGGCAAATTCTCTGTGCTCAGAGAGCTGCATCAACCCCAAACCCCAATAAAGCATCTCACATCCTGCTCCACTTGAAATGAAGTCTTCTTTAACAGATACAGTTTTGATATATATGTTAAACGCCTGGATGGACCCTGTTTTTCAGAATTCCCCTGGATCACAAGTTGTCATTTCACACCCTAGGTCGATTGTCTCTACCCTCTCATATGACCCAGAGGAGCGTTTCCTGAATCAGACAGGACACATGCCAAAGATAAACTGTTAAAAATCTGTTGAAAAAAACCTGTGATAGAGGTTTGCTTAGGGTTAGGCACCAAAACAACATAGTTAGGTTTAGGGAAAGATCATGGTTTGGGTTATGATAAGTACTTTGCTCAGGTTAGAGAACCGTAATGGTCATGGATAGAATATAGAACAATCACGGTCATCTTCAGACACAAAGTGTTTTTTTATATTTTAACCAAAACCACAAATGCTGCAAAGTGAAGCTCAAACATCCAAGTAACAATGAGTAAAACACATTTTTGAGTGGATGGAGACTTCAGTAGAAAAAAAAACAAAAACATATCAACACATCCACACTTTTGACTCTGCCTTTGGAAAAAGCAGCAACCTCTGGGTCTAAAGATGAAGCCAAGTGCCAAAAACTGCAATTCCTCAAAAGTGAGTCAATCCTCCTTGACTCCCATGTTAAAATGCGCAACTTCACAGCAGAAATAAAAAAAAGTTTTCAGCCTGGTACAAAAAACAGTTTTGGTCTCTGTAGATAATTTCCCCCTTCATGAAACTGTTTATATAACTCATTCAATTTTTATCAAGGCTTAAAGTTCTGCATAATTGAGGGCGTGGTCGCTTTGAGTGACAAGTGGGTGACACGCTCCTCCTCTCTGCCCTTTTCTCGATTAGCCGGGGGTTCAGCAAAGTCAAGCACTGCCAAGATGGCGATGGTGGACAAGCCCACTCCTTATCCTCTTCAGAAACCTGTGGGCGATGTCACGGAGGCTACATCCATCTTAATATACAGCCTATGCTTTGGACTTTCCAACAAAAAAATATCACTACAAACAGAGTTCCTCAGTTTAGGGTCTCCTGTGTCTTGGGTTTGATAAGTTTGGGGCTCACTGTCTTATACATTGTAACTGGAATTGCACATTAGAAGATTTATGATGCTTCATTCTGGAAAGGGTTGGACTGAGACTTCCTGCCCGAGCAAATGCTACAAAACAAACAAAATGTCTCAAAAAACGCTGTTACTTCACACACTTCAAATAACTTGAAAAATCAGCCGTCCCGCTGGATTTGTCATTGTCAGAGCACATCTTGAGGTAATTAGCGATTTCTTTTCCCCAGTCCACATGCAGTGTAACCACTCAATATAATGCGTGCAGAGACACAGATTTGATTTGTACTGATGGAAAACAATTTTGGACTGATATTGTTGATCTGTGAAAGAAGAAAGCACTCCACCTCCTCTACCATAGAACTCTGTATGAAACAGAACGTTATGTTTTCAAGCTTTTTGAAATGAATGATTCATTATTTATCTTCCCCACCAAAGAGAATATTGATGCCTGGTGTGGTCTGTGAACAAAATGGATTGGACTACATTTGAGCATTCACACTTTCTTTTTATAAAATATGATTTATCCAATGCTTAATTCCCCCCCTAAGGATAATGAAATATTGAAAAATAGCAAACTACATCCTACATAATATAATCTGCATATTCTCTCTGTGCCATGCAGGTTATCCACAACGTTATGTCAGTGATGATTAGAATTTATATAGATTGCTGAGAGTGCTTCAAATCATACTTGCTTAATGAGGCAATTTTCAGTAGACCGCATTAGAGTATCATTCTTTCATTGTTAGCCCAGAAATAGTGGATATAGTACATAAATATGACACGCTCACTCTTCTCTCCAAACCTCCTGACTAACACAAACTTTCTATTTAACTACAACAAAAGATTAATATTGTCATGACAACAATAGAGTCACACTCCAGTAAGAAAATGTCTGATCTAACGCAATAACATGTTTATTCCCACTATTTCAAACCTGTATGCAAAAGGGGGTTAAAGTTCATACAGGGTGATTTTTCAGTACACAGTATCCCAATATCTAGGAAGTAGTTTGATGTAATGTGAATATAACAGTGGTTGTATAATGACCACAAGTTTTAAAGTTTGTTCTTTTCAGCACCATAGCTTGTTGAAAAGATACCAAAAAAGAAACAGCATCTCATCAAACTTCCTGCAGAGAAATTTAACAAGTTTGGCAGTGTGGAAAAATACTGTGTATAGTCCAGTGATGATGAAAAATACACAGAATTCTTTCAACACAAAGACCTGAACAATCTGATGCAATAACACAACCAAAGCCCCTGCAAAATAGATAGCTAGATAGATAGATAGATAGATAGATAGATAGATAGATAAATAGATAGATAGATAGATAGAAATATGGATAGAGGGAAATTAAAATGTGATAGCAGCTGAATCCAAATACAATAAAATACAATAAACTACAAAGACAACAGACAGAATTACACAGAAATACCAGAAATTCCACAAGTACACAGTGGAAATGAGAAGGTAGATAAATATAAATAAATAAGTATATATGGACCAATGGGCAAGTGTAAGAGTGAGAGAGTTTAGATGAATTATAGAGATGCATTATAGAGTCTTATTGCACTAGGCAGGAATGACTTCCTGTAATGTTCCCTGACGCAGCAGGGTTGTACGAGTCTGTTGCTGAATGTGCTCTTAAGTTTGTCTAAAGTTTCATGGGGGTGATGGGTGACATTTTCCATGATTTGCCAGAATTCAGTCCTCAGCCACCTCCTCCAGTGTGACCAGCCTCAGACCAACAACAGACTCGGCCTTCTCAGTGAGTTTATTCAGTCAGCACAGCACATCACAGCACAGCACAGTACAGCACAGCACAGCACAGCACAGCACAGCACAGCATTGTTCTGCATTCTGAAGAAAACCTAAAGCTGCAGTTAACTAAACTCATGCCTCGTGTGTTTATGGTGATTGTACTCTACTACTTAGCTCCTCCCAAATCTAGAGTATAGCGCACCCAAGAGTGGGTTACATGAACACGAACATCTTGCACTTATTGAGCAATAAGTCTGGCTACTACTTAAACCTGCATGTCGGTTAACGTGCACAGGTGCTGTTCAGAAACCTTAATGTTGCTGTTTTCTTTTATACTTGTAATTTTAATGTGTCCAAGTCAGTTCCAGTCTTATGTTTTCCAGCCTCCCTCTAACAGGGAGGTGGATCAATCATTCTGATTGATTCTTACAGGGCTGAGATTTGGGAGCTGTGGATGTTGCCTGGGTTACTCATAATAATGTTCTGTGCGAAACTCTCAAACGAGTGCAGGTTCGACATTGATGAGCTCTTGATCTGTGCTCTACGCTGACTTTTGGACAAGGATTTTGAACTTTGGTTTTAAGTTTGACCCCAGATACTTTTGACGTCAATAGTGTGCCTCCAGCGGCACGCTGACAATGATGAGAGGCAGAAATTAAAGGTGAAAAGGTTCATTTCGTTTGCATCTCTGAATCCTCGCACTTATGTAACGCTACTTACTCCCTGATCCTACTGGGATTTGTGTAAAAACTCTCAGACACTGCAGAAAAAGTATCAACTTAGAAAATTCATATTGCAAATGTTGACTTTCTGTTATAGATCATAGCATTCGACACTGCTTTGTAGGATTTTGTGCTCCACCTTGCGCAAATGACTAACTCTTGCATGTTTGGACTGCAACTCCTGTAAGTCCTTTTCAATGGTGTAGCTAGAACTGTTGACCAAATCTATATCTTTGGATAACTACTCCGTGTTACTTAAGTCATTTAAGTCAATTTTTATTTACATAGCGCCAAATCACAACAGAAGTTATCGCAAGGCTTTTCAAATAGAGCAGGTCTGGACCGTACTCTTACCTATCTTACTAAACTCCTGATGACATAAGGGTAATTACTTAGAACACCATTTGTTCTTCCAGGGAACTCCGTGACATTTTGAATACTAACTAGATGATACAGCCAACTGTTTGTTAGTCATGCAGGGAATCAAAGTGGAGACGTATTTCAGGATATTTCCATGGCTCTGGATGCAAAACCCCTGTTGATTTTCTTCCCAGACAGTGTTGGAGCAGCAGCCGCTTGGATGAACATGAAGCTTTCCTGGCTGAATCATCAGTATGAAAAGCAACTGTGTTAAAAAAATATAAAATATATAAGACACAAGGAGCAGAGATAACCCTGACTCCTGTACCGAAGTAAGAGACAGTTGATAACTGAGCTTAAAATTCTGCTGGCTACACCTCTAATGGCAGCTGAAGCTTGCGTTTACATTTTGAAGACTCCTGTTAATAATTAAAAGATTTTGCGTTATGAATCAATTCACCCTCTGATCCTGGGTCAGTGT